AATAGGTTTCATTTCATAGGCAATTTTATAACATGTAGTTCCCACTAAACTTAATTTATCCTTACTAGCTGTTACAATTTAGTCTTGTTCAGTTTTGACGGCCTTAACCCATTCAGATCACCACTGATGCTCATTCTCTTATAGTCTAGTATTGTATAAACTGTAAAAAGGAAATGGCATGTCTATGGACAAATTGGGAAGGGAGTAAGAGGCAGGGCATGCATGAAAATTCTCACTGATTCTCCAAAGCAGAAGCGGCCAAGCTCTCCACCACAAGACTGGCCGACTGGCCTGGCATAGTGGCAAAATGTGGTATCATTTTTCCCAAGGCCAACATTCCTTTGCTCTACAGATACTTGGTTTGGGCACAGATCACATTTAAAAATTACAATTAGGCACTTTAACCCTATGTACAGAGTATCTTGACAATATTGATGTTTCTTAGGGAATATTTAAAATTAAAACAATAATAATAATGTCTTTTCCTCATCTTTCTCTTACCCATTCACTGATACCCTCTCTCAGATTATTTACTATTTACTTACCTTCAGCTTATTTTAAAATGACTGAGCTTATTTCCATGGGAAAAGTCAAAGAATTTTAGGTTATTTTCATTTTTTCTCAGCTATATTTTCTCATTTCTCTTCACTGACTATATATTACTGTTTTTAAAAAGGTGAGTACAATTTTTTAATGAATGACTTACCTCAATAATTTTGATAATATCCCGTGGACCGATAATTTCCGGGTCAAACTTAACAAGGGCTTTGCTGGTGGCAAGGGCAACGGAGGCATAAGTGATGCCATTCGTCCTCGTGAGTTTGGACTCTATGTTGTGGACACAGGACGCGCAGGTCATCCCTGTGATCTGCAACAAAGGATGGCAAGAATCCCACAGACCCAGGATCAAGGTGGCCTGTGAAAGACAGTCTGGGGAGTCTGGGTAACAGGCAGCCATGAGCCTTTCCCTCCTCAGCACTGCTCTCGAGACCCTGGACTACACCTCCAAACCCCGCGTGTGAGATTCTCAACGTTCCTCCAGCGGCTTCAGGGACTAAACAGTAGCTCTTTCCCAAAACAGGTACAGAAGACAGCCAATCACGAAGCAGATGGCAACAGACCAAGGCTTGACTTCCGGCTCTGATACGGATGGGTTTTTATAAGCCCCTCTCCACTGTCTGTTACCTCACTGCAAAGCCGGGATACTAATGCCTGTATGGGGAAGTGAACTTCTGTGAAACTCGCTGCACTCCTGAAATACTCTCGGTAATCCCAAGTGTTGCTGGCATGCGGTCTGCAGCTACTGCTAGCATCCTCCCTATTTTAGAGCTCTGCTCCCTCCAAGGGTGATGATGTTAATACCTCTTATTAATAGGAGAAAAGTGGCTGATGCAGGAGATGTAATCAAAGGTGGTCCCAAGGTACAAACAGGGTGTTGACAGGTGAAGGGAAGGATGCTACCAGAAGGAGAAGCTCAAAAAAGACAAAAGGCAGGATAGCATGAGGTGTTCAGGCAAACATCAAAAGCCAGGCTTATCTGGGCACAGGATGCCCAAGGGAGAGGAAGGAAGGCTGCAGGGCTGGCTGGGTCCACAGCCTGAAGGCTTTTGAGCAGCCAGCTGAAGTGTTGCTAAGCTAGCACCTGATGTGAAGTCACTGAGGGGTAATGAGCAATGGAGTGATGTGATTGGAGCTGCATGCTGAAATTCACATCGGTGATCCCAGAATGAAGAGCCAAGGGTCCCATCTGGAATTAGGGAGGAGGAAGAGGGGAGCTCATCTGTAATCAGAATGCATTCAACTTGGCCCAAGACCCAAGGTAAAAATGGGAATGCAAGGACCACCAGGCAAACTTAGGAGTTTACCTGTTGGCAGGTGACTGCCAACAGAATTTTAAAAATCAAGTCTCCAAATATTTCTATGGTACTTCTCTGCTCTCTGCTTGTTTTTATAACAACAGTAATAATAAGTAGCATTTATTGTGCACTTGCAAAGTGACTGGTGCTGTCCTAGGCCTTGTGCTGCTCACACCAAACCTAAGAGGTAGGTCTCAAAACCACAGTACTGAGAGGTTTAGGAACTTGTCCAAAGTCGCACAACCAGTGACGGGTAGAGCTGAAGCACGTCCCCAGATGGGCTGGCTCCAGAATCTGCTCTGAGCCACTGCCATCTGCAGCATGAGGCGAGTCTTCTCAGACCAGGTTCAGAAGTATCCCTGCAGCGACAGGGCCAAAACTCAAACCCAGTTTTTAAAGCCTACACTGCTTGTTCCATACCATGCTGTGCGTCCTGACATGAGAAACGGAAGTCTTAAGTGTGACGTGCTATTCCTGGGATATATATTAGGCAAATATGAAGTAAATAGACAATTCACTCTTCTGAGGATCAGTGGTCAGCATTTCCTAGAAGACCAGTTAAATACAGAAGTTCACATAAAATCTGAATATGTGATGACAATGTAACTATTAATACAGCATGGTTTTTTTTTTTTAAAAAGAACATTACAATAAAAAAAAAACTGTTTAAAAGAAACGTACACCTTACGGCCGGGCACGGTGGCTCAAGCCTGTAATCCCAGCACTTTGGGAGGCCGAGACGGGCGGATCACGAGGTCAGGAGATCGAGACCATCCTGGCTAACACGGTGAAACCCCGTCTCTACTAAAAAATACAAAAAAAAAACCTAGCCGGGCGAGGTGGCGGGCACCTATAGTCCCAGCTACTCGGGAGGCTGAGGCAGGAGAATGGCGTAAACCCGGGAGGCGGAGCTTGCAGTGAGCTGAGATCCGGCCACTGCACTCCAGCCTGGGCGACAGAGCCAGACTCCATCTCAAAAAAAAAAAAAAAAAAAAAAGAAATGTACACCTTTTCCAATAATCCTCTTGCTTTAGATTTTCCACATAGAAGTCTGAGCAGGCAGAGATGTCCCCATGCAGATCCCGAGGTTTGCAGCAGAGACCCTGCCCCTCTTGTTGGGCACCTCTTGTGGGGCTGACCGAAGCTGTGACGTAGCAAGTATTAGCTGTGCCCTCCAGACACAGAGAGGCCCTACCAGAGCAAAGGGTTTGCTCCACAAAGAACACGGCTGCTCAGGAGCTCACGGGCCTCTGTGTCCTCAATGCTTTCCCCTCAAACATCCAGTTACCACTAATGACTGACAAAACACACAAAGGAAGTAGAAACCCTCTGATGACATGGGTAAAGCAGCATCGTTCAATTCTCTGTGAGTTATTCTAAGTCTCCCTCTGCTTACACAAAAAGAGCTATACAAAAGTACAGAAGTGCTTTCAAACATAGCATGTTCTATGCATCAGATACACCCATTGTTTCCGATAATGTGTTGGCATGTATACAGATGGGAAACAATACCTCCCCACCCAAAACACTGGCAACAATCACCACCCGGAACATTCCCCTCAGACTGAGTGTTGTGGAGCACTTTGGCCCTCTAGACACCCATGCACCTATCATAAGTCCTTTTCTCTTGGAACAGCACTTGCTACCACATGGACTTCCCTCTACTGCCTTGAGATAGTTGCAGGCATGCTAGTTTCTTTTTAGGCTTGAAGGACTGTGTTCATGTTCAACTCCCCCTAACCACCCAGCTCAGGGCAGTCCACCGTCTTTAATTCCTCTTTCTTCTATACTCCTGCAGCTCATCATCTCTTCCTCCTAACACCCCGAATACTCTCAGTGGGATCCTCCCCATGACTCTTTAACGTAACTGACCTTTCTCAAAATGAACAAGTCATTGTTGTCGGCTTCAAAGGAAGGTGAAACAAACAAAATACCCAACAACAACAAACCAGACATGTCCAAGATGGGGAAATTTACTAATCACAAAGATGGATGCTGTCCAAAATGCAAATTGTCAGAAGCAGCCTGTAACCCCGAAACGCACCCACTGTACTTACTGTCAGCTCAATGTTGCCATCGGAGCCTGCGGAGTCCTCCATGACTGCTGCCTCAAAGCCCAGGTCCTGGATCAACTGAGCTATCTCGAGCGGCTGAATGACCTCCGGGTCATATTTGACCTCTGCCTTTCCTGCCATCAAGGCAACCAACACGGAGAGAACACCTGGAACCATCAGGTCACGGCTGTAACACTCTGGGTGGGCAGGACCTCCAGGGTGACACAGTTAACATAACTGAACAAAGAAACACATCTTCCCAGAATCCTCTAGAACAGCAGTTTTCAAACACGGCTGCACATGAGGATTGCTTGGAGAGCCTTTAACAATCACGATGTCTGGTCTCTAACCCAGACCAACCGAATCAGAGTCTCTCAGGGTAGGTGGCAGGCATCTTTCTTTCTTTCTTTTTTTTTTTTTTGAGATGGAGTCTCATTCTGTCACCCAGGCTGGAGTGCAGTGGCATGATCTCAGTTCACTGCAACCTCTACCTCCAGGGTTCAAGCGATTCTCCTGCCTCAGCCTTCTGAGTAGTTGGGATTACAGGCATGTGCCACCATGCCTGGCTAATTTTTGTATTTTTAGTAGAGATGGGGTTTCACCATGTTGGTCAGGCTGGTCTTGAACTCCTGACCTCATGTTCTGCCCGCCTCAGCCTCCCAAGGCATCACTTTTTTAAGAAAAGTTCCCCAGGTGATCTTAATGTACAGGGAAGTTTGACAGCCACTATTCTAGAAGAACAATGCTTCTCAAACTTTAATGGACATATGAATCACCCGAGGACCCTGTTAAAATAGAGCTTCTGACTAGTCGGTCTAGGAGGAGGTTTGAGTTCTGCAGGTCCATCCAGCCCCCAGGTGATGCTCATGCTGCCAGCATATGGACACATTCTCACTCAGGCTTTAGAAGACACCAATGGAGTAAGTAGTGTGGTCTGCAGTTATTGACTGCTGTTACAGAAAGGATATCTTCTTTTTTTTTTTCCTCCAGACACTTTCATACAAGGAAAAAATAAAGAATTTTCAAAAGTGGTTTTCCTTACTATTTTATAGTTTCTAATGACTTCCAGGTATGAAAAAGAAATCCCACAATCTTGCTAACACTATTGTGTTAGTTTAACATGGGGGAAAAAAGCCTCATGCAAATAAATGAAAGGAATGAAGTGCTTCAGAAAGGATGCCACACGGGATAAAAATGAGGATTCAAGTCAGGAACAGAAACATAGGCTACAGGAGATTATAGGCTAATTTTATGAGCAGTCAGACCATGGATAACAAATGATCTCCTATTAACACCTCTATCTGCTAACAGTCACTCTAGAGCTGCAGGAAGCTATAATGCATAGTGAACAAGAGGCTGGAAAAACATGTCATCTGAACTCAGGGTTGATTCTAAGGGCCAGGGAGTTCAAGTAAAAAGACACATCACTGGGTAAGAAAAGAGAAAGTGATTCTGGTGGCAAGGTAGAGTCATGGTTAAATTTTCCAAACAAATGGGACAGAATTTTGTTGTACTTTCAAGTTTAAAAGTATTGGAAATGCATTCTGGAGGACAAAACTTTGACATTTCCACACATTTCTGTCCTGTTGTTTCTGCAAACACTCTCTGGTTTACAGGAACAACAAGAAAGAATATTTGAAATTGGAACTTCTATACAAAATGCAGGTTATTTATTCATTTTATAGTAAGGGGTTGATGGGATGGGAGGGAACAAAATATGGAATAATACTAGCACAATCTAATTGAGAAGTCTATCCATAGAAGGTACCATGACCTTTAAACTGGATTTTCAATGGCTAACTTACTCAGAGATATATTTTATCTCAAACTAAATACTTCCTAAAGAACAGACTGCCAGTTATACAAGGACATTAGACAAACATCTATGCTATATAATGAGCTTGCTACCTGGTTATCAGGGCTACTGATAAACACAGTTGCTGGATATTCTGAAGGGAGAATATGAAGTCTACAAGCAGCATTCCTAAGTTCAAGATGGGCGTTCACCTCTTACCAGCTTCCTTCTGCAGATTCCTTTCTATGTTGGACACACAGGACGCACAAGTCATGCCTTTGATCTGTAAGAAGCACTTCTGCGGTGCCACTGCTCTGGTTGATTGTGGGGACTTTGCCCAGATGTCCGGGAGATGGTTTGTAGGGAGACTCCCAGCGTGGAGAGCCACTTCCTGCACAGATGTAGGTGTACCACCTGTAGTTTGCACCATGGAATTCCCAGCACTGTGGTTTCCAAGAGGGCTAGTAGAACAGTTTTCTAGGATAAAATGTCAGAAAATATTCAAATCAGAAGAACAAATAATATGTTTTTCAGAACAAGAGGTTTCAGGGCTCTTGGTGAGGGTTCATGGTCCTGGCTCCCACCAAGCAGCCTCAGCCCCTGGGCTCCAGTAACTACGTTGTTCCTCAGCCACCATGGAGGAGGGGGCTTCCTGCTGTTGTTAATCTGTGGGGTTCTTCCCATTGCATATTTGGATTTCCAGCTCTCTAACACCTTTGTAAATAGTTCTCTGTATTAAATCCCTCCACTGAGCTACCCTGTAACTTCACCTTAACTTTCATTTCCTTCAGGAATACCTACTGCATGCGGGGTGCTATTGAGTCCAAGGAGAAACAAATCACGCTGACCGCAAGGCTGTCCTCAAGGAGCTCCTAATCAATCGAGAACGGCTCTTCAAACTGGCACACTAATGGTTTATTCTAAATTAAAGTTGCCAGGTAAAATATAAGACATCCAGTTAAATTTGATTTTCAGACAAACAATAAATAATTTTTACTATACATATATCATGAATATTGAGCGGGACATGTTTATACTAAAACATCATTCATTGTTTATGAAAAATTAAAATTTAAGTAGATGTCCTATATTTTTATTTGCTAAGTCTGATACCCTAAATACCTCTTGGGCTGAACATAATACTCATAATCCTGCCCAATCAAAAAAAAAATCACTATTCTTTTCTTTCTAGGTTTATTTAATCAAATCCAGTTATTCTGTAATATGTAGCTTAACGCTAATTTCTTTTTACCACTTCATGCTAACTTCTTTTTACCTGATTGCACGGTTGAAAGACTTTAAATATCACACAAAAACAGGCAGATGTTTACCTTATACTATATTTCTCACCTTTTGTGTACAGGATTTACTGTTCTACTGTGTTTTCCTTATTGATTTTTGTTTTAAAGAAACTCCTTCCTGAAACTTGGTACAAAAGACAAAGCACAACACAGGGCCAGGCCACTTCACACGAATGCCCGCTCCCTTCAGCAGTGGGTGTGTGCTGTGGGCACAGAGGGGAGGCAGAAAACACTCACAGCTGAGTGAACTTTTCAAGGAACAAACTTTATCTCAGTGACCACAAGAAACGATGTAGGAAACCAAAGTCCAGCCATCCCTGAGCACTGAGCTGCTGGTGGGCTTTCCTGTGCCGTCAAAGGCAGCTCTTTCTAGTGCTGGGCCCGCTGCTCCCTACAGTACCGAGCTCCAGGCAAAAGGCCGAGGAAGCCAGCCATGTCCTGGTCCAGTCCACAAGATACGCACGTGCAGGGCCCATGTCTGGGACCTAATCGGTTACAATACACCACCCACAAGCTGCCCCTCACAACA